TTCCAACGGTGCTATAGCGGGTTAATATAGAATTCAACGACGCTTTCGAGGAACATACTTTGATTTTATATACCTAGTTTAATTGAAAAAATTACTTTTAAAATAACTCATAGGTACTTGTGAGTTACCTTAGTTGTAATGATAATGATTCCGGCAAAATTTCGAGAGGATGAATCAAAAACATATTCTATAAAAAAAATTATTTTCATTCTCATTATGCCGATGATTGTTCAATCGCACCTATTTAGTATTATTATCGTTATATTTTAAAACTTTTATAATTTATATTTTATATACTATTCATGATGTCGTTAAATTATAATTTTTAATATTATCGTATAAAAGTCTCAAGTATTAGTGGATGATTGTAGTACAGTTTTCCCAATCTGTTTTTCCCGATCAATTTATTCCAATTAATTTTTCCCAATTTTACTATTCCCAAATCTAATATGCCCAATCCATTTTTTCCAATTTCAATGTTGACCATAAAAACATTTTCCCGGAATAAATTTTTACAAGTTAAATATTTTTTCAAAAAAAAAATAAAATAAGTAACACTGTTGCCGAATACACGAAATCGGCAATTTGGCTACCAAATTAACGAAATAGATAAATTTATAATTATAATACATAATAACAAACAGTGGCATATAAATTAACTATAATTGTACGCGTGCTGATCGGCATTAGCACACCGTTATTTTTATTACTTATATGATGATAGACGCTATGATACGTATACGCATTTTATCTTGGTTATCTTCGTATATCTCTAAATGGTACACATTTCATCATTATCTTTATTACCGTTTGCCGTTCAACTATACATTTATACCTATATAGTATCTATAGATTATAAATACGCATATGCGTTAATATACTTTATATAGTAAGTTTATCCATTCGATATCGATTATCGAATGTCTTATTTGTACCTTGTTTAGTTTCATTTTGACAGTTGTTGCCAAATGTGTAATTTTTCGTAGATTAACTTGAATAAATCATTTCTGTTTTGTATTGGGGGGAATATAGTTTTTCAAAAAATAAATAATTTTTATTATTATATATTATATAATATATTGTGAAAAATGGTATTGTGGAAGAGAACTTTTGGGAAAAATGGTATTGAGAAAAAGAACTTTTGGGGAAAAAAAAATGTGACAAACAGATTGGAAATAGTGTCTCCCTACCATTAGTGATCACACTTTTAAGCCACGTTTGTGTTTACAGACTATTATTAGTTATTACACTGAGTAAGGTATACAAACTGCATATACGTCATATGTGATCAACGCATAAAATCTAGGCGAGTATCGTATTTTAGCATTCAAATATAAAATATTATATTTAGTTGTTATTATATGTGTCTTATATGAAAAATAACTAGACTTTATATACCTTGTTTATTTATGAATTTGAAGTTAAAAACTTCTACGTTAAACTGTAGGAGAAAAATGTGTTAAAAATCATGTAGGTAATATAATATTCTTATATTTTGTAATGTAAATTTGTAGTATTAGGATATTATCTTGAGTATTTTGAGTAAATGCTAAGATAATATTATTAAAATTCTACTAACTTGATAACACTTTAGTGATGTTAATCGTATGATTTTTGTTTTAATCATTTAAAAAATAAATTTTAATCGTAAGTTTTCATTATTAAAAGTAACTACCAGCTACCGAGTACGAGCCTATAGAGTTATCGTTTTAAAAAAACTAAATGGACTGATGGTGTTGTCAAAAACAATATAAAGTGATTTACCAAGTATGTTCACTCACCCCTTTTTTTCTACATCAATACAGTTTTTCAAATTTCAAAGTCTGAGTTACTTACAAATAAAATTATAATAAAGACCACCATATTTTTTTAATTCTCGAGATTTTTTCATACTATTTAATGATTTATCTTACGTTGGTACAAACTTTTGTTGTTTAAATGTATTTTAAATTATTTTCTGTAAATATTTAGAGGATAATTTTTTTGAAAATGTTTTTGTTCTGAATTCAAAATTTAAACGATTAATTTTTCAGTTACTAAAATATATAATATTATTTAATAGGTATATGAATATTGGTATTTTATTTTTATCCAAATAAATACTGAAAGCCGACTAACTATAGTTCACCTATGGTGGCATGACTAAATGGCTAATCATACAAATACTGAAATGAGTGAAATTCATACATTTGATACACATTTATAACTTATTACGGCTTGGTTTTGTATTTAAAAATAATAAATTTAATTATACTTTGTAAATTTCCTGATGTTAAATTAAATAATAATTTTCTTTAGTATAGGTTCTTATATTATGTAATATATAGTGTTTTCGCGTATTATGATAATATTTCATAAATTAAAATTAAATAGAGTTGTTTAACATAAATATAAATCTAACCGTATATATTGCAATATTGAAATAAGGAATAAGCAATATCGGTGTGATTATTACTATACATACAGCTAACATTAAAGTGTATATATAAGCTATAAGACATAATAAGCAATACTTTATTTTTGATAAAGTTAATAATAAATTGTTGAGATATTAAAGCTATATGATTTAAGTAAAAACAGGAAACTATAGCTTATGGATGTAACTTTTTATTAGATATGCGACATGCACTATAATTTGTGTGTTAAATTTAAATTTTTTATATGATAAATCGTATGTGATATAAATACATTAAATTGAGTTTAAAAATTGATATCATTGTAAAAATTTAGCATTTATTATTATTATTATTATTGAATTATTATCGTTTAAAATAAAATCGTTGTTTTTCATTTATATTCAATTACAATTACATTTTAACTTCAAACGCTAAGTAAAAAAATTACGTCTTTTTATAATACAGTATCATCATTATCTTTTAATTTTTATAAGAATGACTATAAATTATAATAGTATTTACTTAACCATTATCATTAATCAAGCATTATTATATATTGAGGGTGCATAGATCAAAATATTTTCGAAGTGTTCTTGAGCATATAATAGAAAATTATACATTAAGGAAAATCTTTCTTTTTTCAATTTTTGAGTAAATTTACTTACTAGAAAATATTTGAACTTAAGGAAACTACAGTACTAAAATAAAAAAAAAACCAATAGCATTGTGCTCCCCACAGAATATCTAATTTAACGAGGAAAAATGTTTACAGGTTAAAGTATTTATAGGTCTAGTAAGTTTAGAAATATTCTGTATGTATATAAATTGTTTAAAATGTTTAAAACTTTCTAGACGTTACTAAATATTTGAATGTATGCTATAATAATATACTTATATGACATGTACCTATATGATGTATGAGCTTGCTGCAACTAACGTTATAGGAATGAATATTTTATCGGAACAACCTGGAGAATAAACTCGAATATTTATGAATTGTCGGTATGTTTTATTTTCTGTCTTGTATTATCTGTATTGTACCATTAAGTTAAATTTTGAGCTATACCTACATATTGTTACAATAATAATAACTGTGTTCTATAATTTACAATGAGCAGAAGATAAGAGAAAAATAATACAAGTATATTTAAAATGAATTGCTTACACATCAAAGTTAATTATATACTTCTGAAGTTAGTTTTTTAATTTATTTGATAAAATGTGTAAAATATATAGTTCGTATTTTATTTTAAAACAACAATATTTTTATCCACTGTAGTACTTAACATAGTTCATCTTGTTGCGATTGCAGGTACTGAAGTTATGCACTTATGCATATATCGTAAAGGCGTATATTTCACGTATTACGTATATTGCGAGTTATTTTCACGTTATAGTTATTAACGGGTGGATTACCGACGAATAATATACGCACTGTTTATGTACAATAATGTATTATAAAATAGATTCAGATTTTTACGGAAGTTGCTCGAAAATATTATAGCGGAATTAACAATAAGGGTAAACGCGAGTATAAAATCATAGTTTTAGTATAGATGGAAAAATAAAAAAAATATAAAATAATATAATATTTTTCACCTCGTTTTGCGCACCACTGCCGAGTACCGAGTGACAAAATCCGAAAGTGTGCGGCGAAAGGACGTCTTAAGCTATAATAGTCAATACACGTACACCTATATACTACACACTAAACACGTAAATGTTATACTAAGTATAATTAGTATACTAGATATAATATATATACCTACCCGAGTCGGCGGTGATGATGATGACGTGCATATATACACACAAGTAATAGGTACACATCCCCAACAGACAAATTTTACTTTGCGTACACGTCGTATATACAATATAATATTATACTATATATAGTGTTACCGTGTTACCCCTGATGAGATAATTTTATGTAAATATATGCGACGAAAAAAAGTTATACGTTGTGTATACGCGTATACAGAAACAATATCCCCTGCGTGCACCCATTATTATTGTTATTATTTCCTCTATGTGTATGTACACGCACACAAACACACACACACACACTCGCCAGTTAGCCCGGGGACAATAATACAATAATTATTATTCGGTTTTTTGCATACGATTAATGAACGTTCTCACCGGTCCAGCGCCAGTATTCGTTTGTTTTGTTTTGTTTTTTTTCACATCCTTTATATCCGTCAGGTATTTTTTTTACTACTCTCACTGACTATATGCGACGAAGGTATTTTTAAAGAACCCTCGACGAGACCATAATATACATTATATACGTACTACGTCAAACGAGCGCGCCACACACACATACGACCCCATGTCGACCGTATACCGGAATCCCTTCAAGGAAGACATGCCGCGTCCTCTTTCTCATCGCGCTGGAGCATACAAAAATATTATGCAGATTAGTTTTTCTGTCCAAGACAATGGCCCGCCGATTTTTAATATACCGCGTGTGTGTGTGTACCCGGCCGGGCTTTTGTATAACCGGTATAATAATAACAACTGGTTTTTTGTCACACATGAGCGGTAGCTACAACACCGTTGTGCGAAGCATCAAGCATCGCAGCGGCCCGCAGTATAGCACCGCAATCTGTCGTGACTACCACAAAATGTATTTAATATTATAATATTATAACAATCAAATCGCGCTATGTTTCCTGTAAAATGTTGTAATTCCTGATGTAAAATTTACCTGCAAGTACATCAACAGGTTCGTAACATCCGCCGCCGCCGCTACCACATGTATCATAATTCACAACAAATATTAATCATCATCGTCAAAATGTTTTTTTTGTGACCATCAAGACTTGGTATTTAATATATTATATAAATATTATATAGGTAGGTATATATGTATAAATTCACCCGCCAGTTATAATAATATTTTCAACGCGACGGGTTTTCGACAACCCGTTAACAACGTAATAGTGTATTCATTTTATAGATTAATTTCAAACAAATTTGTAATATAACAATAATAACAATAATAAAATATTTAAATATCTCATTGTTATGTGACAGTCACACTTAAAGTTTGAAATTTTTATGCCCACATACCGTAATGTTATTTTGAATTTGCAGCAGGACGTGGAAAATTATTTTCTTAAACAGTGTTTTTCTTTTTTATCATTTATTACGCATTTGACTAAACGCATAAAATATGTTTATTTTCAGTCTGTAAAATTGATTGTGTAAAAGTTGCATGTTAACAAAAAATATTTGTGAAAATAAATTTGGAATTATAATAATTGCATTCGCGTCTATATACAGTTATTATATTTACGCTTCGTTATCCAGTTTTTTCACCAGATTTTCCCGAGAGCCTTGTTAGGCGACACACTTCCCTTTACCCGCCACCAGAATCCAACAAGAAACCCCTCTATTTATTTTTCTCGTTTTTAATAATTTTTCTCTCGTTCCCTCTGGACTGTGAAAAAACACGCATATTCTTTCACTATTCTGTTAATAAATATACGCGTACTTCTAAAATCTGCTGATATTAACCTATTATTCGTTAGATAGAAAATGTATGCCAACATGCCAATGTGTGTCAAATAAATATTATAATTATCGAATACAAATTGCATATTGCCGGAGAGTTTAAATTAGCATCACTTAAGTCTTAAAAAGTTAAATTTGTTACTTGTTTTACTTCATTTGACTATGGTAGAAATTAGGTATGAAATGATTCACCGACGTTTATAATTTACCACATTATGTTTTAAATATGTGTAATAAGATTTCAGTAAATTAATTTACAGCGAATAAGTTTTAAATTTTAGTTGTATTAACTAAACAACTAATTTTAAATTTACCAACATATTATTTGATAAACCTAACAATTAACCGAGATAAAGATTTTAAATCGCTGTTAACAATCACTTAATATAAAAATAATAATAATATGTGGCTAAAAATTATCAGGAATCAGTAAATACCATAATACAAACCAAAATCAAATATTTAAAATAAGAAGTAATAATCACATATTATGCTTTGTCTCCTTCTTATTACTAATATATTATATACAAATTTACGTTAATAAGTAGTTCAAATTTCGTGTTGTTAGTATAAATAATAGAGTAAATATCAATGGTAAAGTTAATGCTGTCTGTGTTCTTTCATTGGGTTTTACCATAGTTTAGTGCCTGAGTAAGTGATGAATGTGTAAAATATTAAAATTTAAAAAACGTGCAATGAGGAAAAAAACAGATTATGTTCTTCATTTAAAGTTTGATAATTTACTTTAATATTAAAAAATTTGCTATGCTGGTTCATATGTTTAAGAAAGATTGAATAAAATAATATGATGATATAATAATAATATAATAAATATAATAATAACAATATTAAATTAAATATTAAATAATGATATAATAATAATTAAATAATATATATATATATAATATGTGATGTATGTTCTCTTAAATCTTGAATTTAGGTTAAGTTAAGTTAAGTTATTTAATTAATTAATAAACATACTTAAGTACAAACCAATTTTAATGATTGCAAAATCTATGTCATTTTTAGTAATTGATTTTTTGAACTTGTATATGAAAGCATAATAGCCATAATATATGAAAAAAGAGAGAGAAAAATAGTCAGTAAAGTAAAGAAAATGAACTAGATATTTCCGAGAGAAAGAAACAGCCATTTGAGTGTGCGTTAAGGGAAGCTAGTTATATTTTAAATATTATATAGGTGTATACATATATAAAAAAGAGAGCCTAAAGGAAGCCAACGCGATGGCGTTCGATTTCGAATACCACGCGCGGTAGAGGGAAAGTCTGAATTACAATGGAAGCGAAGAGGAGAAATGTCACAGACAGAGTGAGCAGTGGAGGGAAATTCACGAATAATAAACGTAAAAGTATATTCTGAAAACGAAAAAGAAAACGCCGGCAGCTGCTGATGTAATAATAAAAAAAAATAGAAGGGAAGAAGGAAAAAGGGAGGGAAGTTCACCGTCAGGCTGCAGTTATATTATAGGCTCGATATTAAATCTGGACGTCCGTTCGTCTGTCCCTGCCACCATCGCCGATGCTACCGTGTGAGTTATATTATATGAAATGTAATTTCTTTACTGCAATAAAATGAAATTAGTTTCCTCACTGGTTTTTATGTATATAGACATTTTTTTATTATAATTTAATAACGAGTATAAAGATAAAAATGTCACGAAAAAAGTGTCGCCCGTAACGTGTAATAAGGAAATTATTTACGTTATTTTTAGTATTTTCATTTAGGCCATAATCGAATACATATATATATATATATATTAAGTACTATATCTGTTACCATTTCGTACACATCTTCTGATAAGTATCAATGTGAAATGGTTATAACGTTTTTCTTTTTAATAGGTAGGTATATAATATCATTTCGATCTTTGTATAATATTGTATTAATATAACGAAGGAAAATTCTAAATGTTTKATACATTTGTAATCAGAGAAAAAATGTATCGTCTATGTATATTATCTCGTAAATGACAAACATTTAATATTTTATAATGTTACGAACTTACGATACTAAAATAAGTATAGCCGAAAAAGTTATTAATAATTTAGAGAAAGTGTTTGATATTGAATTGTACTTTTAAAAAAATTTATGCCAATATTTTTTAGGTTAAATAATTATAAAAATATGTAGATAGCATAAAATAATAATATATGTATATATTGACATGAAATTAAATTGACATTGGTAAATATGTACAAATTTACACGCAGTGTAAGAAGTTATCGTTGCTAATAATATTAAATTATTTGAAACGTAAGGTTACATTAACCTGAAAAATTAAATTCATAAAAATTAATTTTTCTATTTCATTTATTGATAACAATTTTAAATAATAATAATTCATTATTTACGGAAAAAATCTCAATTTTACGTATTACCTATTAATTATTATCTTACAAACAGTTGTATAAATAATTTAGTTACAACTTAAAGGTATATTATATAATTAATACTTTAATATTTATAAAAAGAACAATATAAATTCAACGTAAATTTTAATGCTTGACCCTATTTGAATTTCGTTATGTGGTGTCCATCACTCCAAATCTATCCTATACTTTCATCCATGCTTTGGAAATATTCAAATTCAACAATTATCAATATTTCAAATTCTTTTTATGCAAATATTTATTACCAATAAATTATAAAAGTATGATTAAAATATTAGATAAACAAAATATTAAGTGAAACATTCTGTTTAAAAAGTTTTAGTTTTAATACATTTACCAAAGTTAAATAAAAGTAGTAATAAAACATTAGTATTCAATGATGTGGTAGAAATAAAACCTTATTAATTTCCCCTCTTTAAGTTATAATACTGTTTAATTTTTAAAAAAAAGTTTCATTAAAACCTTTTATTCCGGTCAAAGGAAAGAACCCTTATTGCCTTTACAATGTTTTAACACGTTTTAAAGTCTTGCGTCTAATTTGCAATTAACCCTCCGATTAAATGTCTTGGTGTTTATACATAATAAGGCAATCTAATTATCGGTAGAATGACTGTATAT